AGGCATCAATTTATTAATGATTTATAAATAAACCTCATTATTAAATATTCATTTTACAGTAAATCAATGTTCTATACCCGACATAAGTTTTTCACTCCACCTGTCGCGATCGATGAAACGAAGAAAAAAACCAGCGGCGGCAACCCCGGAAACAGTTTCTATAATTCCGCGTCTTGGGGCCGTTTCCTTTCGAGGGCTATAATCAATAAATACAAGGGGGTCCCACACGTGGTGCGTATCGATATAAACGTAAATGTTTTTTAAATTCCTTTCCGAAACGGAAACGGATGACAATTAAACTGTCTTTTAACTGAAAAACCGTTGAGTCGAAACCCGTCCGTCTCCCCCCGTCCTTCTGCCCGAGTCGCCGCGCGGTACACGGTGAGCCATGCAAAAACTGTCGCCGTATAACCATTTTAATTTCGACAGTTTACTTAGTGACGTCATAAGACAGTAGTAATATGCGCGGGCGTGTAAGTGTAAGTAAAGGTTTTATTATTAGTCGTGAGTAATGTCATTGTTAGGAGTTGCCCGTTCAGGGATACGTCTTATAGATGACGAAAGACTTCGTAATCGTATAGTACAGAACTATAGCCCTGAAATATTAACTGCCAATTTATCACAAATCAAAAGTTCGGCATAAAAAAAATGAATTAAATTCTTGTTTTAGACATGTACAAAGTATTTTAAGATATGCCAGTTTTAAGTTCAATGTTTGTCACATTCAGCGTTATCACAAACGTCTTGTTTTTTTTTTATTTCAGTTATTTACTGAAACACGGAATTTAATGTCAAACGCATAGTTCAAAATTACTTAAATGAAGTGAATGTTTAGACCTTCGATCGACCTCAACGCAGTCCAGATATTAATAAAACACATTTATGAGATCAAAGATCATTAATCCCATATATGTAGGGACAATGAAAATATTTTTGAAAAAGCCCGTTAAATGTCGTTTTTAACCAAAGTAATTGCGAATTCTATCGACAATAAACAACCAAAGTGACCGCTGACAGATCGCCAATAAGTTTGGGTGGGGCCTTTTACGGCAGTGTTTTCTTAAATTGCGTTAAATGAAAAATAAATAGACATCACTCGGATTTCTTTAAAAACCTGATAGGTTCATGAAAGAGAAAAATTACGACCATGTCGCAACTCAGCCAATTATCAAATGTCATAGCCACGTGCTTAGCATGAAATTTTACCAAATAAGGCCACTATATTACTTAAAAGCTATATGATTTACCCCAAATAGATACTAGATATATAGAGAGCGTGTTTATGCCGTTAGTACAGGAACTTTGGAAGCAACTGTGAAAAAAAATGAAAAACTCTAACATTCAACCACCAACATGGCCGCTGACAGATCGTCAATAAGTTTGGAAGGGGCATTTTGGGGCAATATTTTCTCAAAATATGCTTAGATCTCGTTAAATATTCTGGGAAAACAAGTTAAGTTACATAGTATATGGACTAATATCGATCAAATATAAATTAAACGTCTCGTCGAGTCGTCGATGTCATCCGATTATAAGAAGTAAGGCATGTAGGGATGTTCACTTTTTTTTTTTACAATAAATTGCGCTTTTTATTTAATAAGTGAGACAAAGACGTGAACACAATACAAAATGCTGAGAGAATATGCGACTGTGTATGTTTACTAAATGTAAACATAAAACTATAACAATAATATAACTTCAACTACAAATCCAAGAATAACCTTGTTATCACATAAATTTATACTTGATTTTTACAACTCAGTTATTTCGTTTGGGAATAATTAAATGCCTTTTTAAATAAAAGCTAAAAGTTTTGCATGGACCAAGAAACTTTGATTTGGGAACATGATCTAAGGAGTTGAACAAAATTACAGTATTATATGTGAAAGAACATCGAAATTTTGATAACGGCATAGCGAGTGTGATTCGGTGTCTTCTCCGATTCAGGTCATGAATTGATTTCCTAAATACTGATTTGTCATCCAAATATTTAGGAATGATCACGCGTTTCAAACAGTATAGACATTTTGAATACAGCAATCTCAAACTCATATAACACTGTTTGGAGACATACATGATCAAAAACCTCATACTCTCATCAATATATAGATCCAGATTTTTAACAGACTTTACAAGCTGAACAGGTTTACATATAATTTCACCCTGGATTTCATGTTGACTTTCTTTCTCTTGGGAGCGCTACACTTTGATGGATTTAAGCGTAGATTATGCCCCCCCCCCCCCGCAAATCTTATTCATTCAAAACTGAGCTGACACCACTTAGATCCTCCGTATAAATAAAAAATAATAATGTATCTTTTTATCTTTATATCTTCATCCTTTTTTCGCCAGTTGGATACAACTGCAGAAAATTTAACGTTTTTTCATACAAATCCAGTGTACCGACATTCGTGATCAATAATATCGAATGCCTTTGTGAAATCCAGTGCAACCAATGCTGTCATGGACTCAAAATTTCGTCCTTTCCTAAAACCATTGACAGCAACTCGTGTATTTGTTTGTGTACTACTTTTTCCGGAATTTCTGACAAAATAGGTAATAAGCTTATCGGACTCACGTCTCCAAATACGGACCGATCAGCGTTCTTGGGAATTAGTACGACCAATGCCTCTTTCCGCAACTCTGGGAAATATCCGATTTCAAGGCAACATTTCACTAAATGACAAATATATATGGCATACAAAGCTTTACCATCTCCAATGTGATCCAGTCCACCTCCATAGCACCAGATTTTATTTCTGATACGAAATTGTTTAAATTGTTAGTATTATAAAAATGTATGGTTGATGCAAATTTGTTATCACTTTTCTGGAAGCAAGAGACGAAAAAAACGATTCATTTCTTCTGGATTTGGTGGTATCTCTACAGTTATATTATTTTTCTGGATGGTCGTTTCTTTTAGAGCTTAGTGGTGCGTTCGTTTTTATGCGACGTGTAGCTCACAAAAGCTTCAGCTGGCACGCGTGTCCCGCGACGTTTTCGCCAATTTATTCAGCCGGGACTATTTTAGATTGCCAAGAAATATTTAATATTTCCTTTTTTTGATCTTGCATATTAATTAATTAATATTAATGAGTATATATTATTATTATACCACGCACCATCGAATAGATGGCTTTTAACCGAAAGAAAAGGGTTCTCGGTCCGCCCTGTATACCGCGGGCGGTGACGAAACAGGTGGTGGCGGCCGGTCGGGGAGCCCTTGAGCAGTGGCTCGCGTGATCGAAAAGCTAACTTTCGAATAAACGATCGAATAAGCTATTAAGAACCTATCGGGTTGTTTTTCCTCGAATAACTGTTGCGTGCGGTTATTTTATTTTTGGAAACGTCCCCCCTGCCCCCCTCGGGCGCAGCGTTTTTCCGGGTTCGACGGCGCACTTTCGGTAGTTTTGTTTATTTATGTTTATTCAATAAAATAAGCAGAAATTCTTTACGGCTTCCAGTTAAAATTTCTATTATTTAACTTTTTCTCCACAATTTCGAATGATAACTTGTTATAGTTTTGTTCAAATTAATCAAGTGAAAATTAGCTACACATAAATGTCCAACTCGATTAAGCGATTAAATTTTTCTCTATAGTAATTATGGACATTTTATTATCATTGGTACATAAAATATATCCATTTTAACTTTTATTTGCATACCTAATGAGTGAAACGCTTTTTTCTTCCTCATTTTATTATTTTTTAATTTTCAATGCTAACTAAAGCTTTATCTTTTTATGTCTATTACTGTAAATTTCACGTATTATAAATACAATAGATGATCGGACAATGCGGACACAGACGTAATTAAATTATATACAGTGACACAGAATATGTTACCTTCTAGTAACAAATTTTGGTTTAATAATTTTTTTATTAATAAATATCTTTCTTTCTAATATCTCCAAAAATATTAAATCTTAAATCTGTGTCTTAGATTTTTATGCAATTTGGTGCGATCAAATCTTTATCCTATAGTGCTTTGAGAGTATTATACGTAGCAAAAGTATTGTCAAAAAAGTATGGTTTGGTTGTTTGGATTGGGTTTTAATTTCATGCTATTTGTAAAATGGCGGACAAACCCCTGCGAAATTGTCTTACGATAACAATTACATAAAATATAGGTATTTCAATTTCAATTTACACAGCCCACCTTGTAAAGGTAAAGGTATACTAAGTAAAGTAATATACCTAATTGTTCAGACTTCTTTAAATAAAAATGAAAAATAATAAAATTATGACAATAATAGTAATAAAGCTGTAGAAAGATTGAAACGCTACCGCAAAAAAAGAAAAAATATACCACACCAACAATATAACAAAAAAGAAAAAAAAAGTAGAAAAGAGTTTAATTTTTTTAATCATACTATTTAAAAAATATATCAAAAAAATCGAAATAAATGTTGAAGAAAACTTTGTTTTCGGCACAGGCAATCGAACGTACTTTTTTTTTTCGCCTCAGCCCACGGTTTGCTTATAGACCGCGGACATCAAACGCAGAAAAGATTTCCGCCGCCCTGTTATCGGTCAAATTGCGGGTCAGACCTCCGAACGCCGATACAACCCCCGAAGAAGAACAAACAATCTCTCCACCACCGGAGATCCCGCACACACACACACACACATGCGCCGCCCCCTCCACCCGTCCCGGTCCATCATTCTTTCGAGGAGCAAAAAAAAAACAATATATATATATAAAATAGGAAGGGGTATGTAATATTGCGCCCAACACTTCGATTTCGGTAAAAAGAAAATATATCTCTTAGTTCCGAAGTCTGTATTGGTCGGGCGAGAGTCGACCGAACGAACGGCGACAGACTACGACAGCGAGACGGGTGCGAGAGAGAGGTAGCGACGAATTGAAGGCGATAGATGGCGCCTACTACCAATACGGGAGGCGGAGCCGAGCGTGACAGACGAGGACGGAACGATCGGGCGATAGATGCATCGTGCCGGCGCCGAAGGACCACTGTCATTCAGTATTGGGGTTAGACCCGTAGAGGTAACACGTGACTCAAAGAGTTTGTTCCGGTTTCATGAACTCTGTGTGAGTGTGTGCGATTTTTTTTTGAGGAAAGTCGCGGTGATAGACACGACTACGGGAGGACCGAGGGGGATGAAGTGATTTTTGGGGGGGTCTCGGCGTGAGGACACCTGTGTTTTGTTGTTATTGTTGTTGTTCGCGGGAAAAAAAATGGTGACGACGAGGACTGTTGTTGTGGACCGGCTCGTACGATAGGATTGGCGAAACTGGCAGAGCTGGAGGAAAGACTACTTATGCAGCCGACGACTGCAGCCAATCTGCCGCCTCCCGGGGGTGATATGGACCTGCAGACCATGCAGAGTATGGAGTGGCTGTTTAAGAAGGAGAGGATTTACCTTTTGGCGCAGTTCTGGCAGCAGGTAGGTCCGCGGGAATACGATTTATTTACCATTTCTCTCGATGGTTAACTTCAGATATTGACACCTGGGCTATCAATATGAATGGGGAAATGTTTACCATAGGTGACTTCCTAACTCAGACACTGCATTTCTTATTTAAAATATTTCTCTTTTTCTTTAATTTCCTAACTAGAGGTTTTATAATAGCAACTATAAATACCACTAGAAACGTAAAATTAATAAACCTTACCGAAAAATATAATCAAAATAGTGGAAAATCGAAGGGCTAGAAAAATGACGATTAAGATACGACTAATAGTAAATATGTTTACATGTCGATGATCACCGGGTGTAACTTTTATTTAAAAAAACAATTAAGAATACAATAAACAGTATTATAATTTTAGCTTCGTATATAAAATGTCCTAACTTTTAAAAGCAAAGAGACAAACTTAAAAAAGAGAAAAATTACGACGAAAAAAATAATCACGAAACCTATCGACTAATTAATTAAGTGAAAAAACGTGGAAAATGCACGATGAAAACCGAAGAAAATTAGTTTCAAAAGTTCAGTGGGATTAATGCATCGATGAAAATAATTCTTCAAATTCAAACCTTCCCAAGAAACAACGCGGCAACAAATAGCAAAATTTCGCGATGTCGATATTGGCATTTAGCTTCTGTTCTGCCAGATATTATTATCAGTGTCACTTTTCCAACAAACTTCGAACGGAAATAAAAAAAATTGAAAGTATTTTAGTTACTTCGTGCCAATTGTAAATGTATTTTGAGTAAGCTTGTTGAATGCCATTGTGTTGATATTATCTTACTTACGCCAATAAAACCTTTTCTTTCAATTTCGCATATCAAAAAAAGGTTTATATCGGTATTGATTTGGTATTATCGTTAGGAACGGGAGTGACATTTATACATTTATTTTAAGTGACACCAATAACGGTCAGTAAAAATATACAATAAATACCCTGTCCAAAATCTGTTTCCGAATGTTCCTCTCGACTTTTTTTTTAAATTATTAAATATTTTTTATTTCTGGCGTGGGAGGGGGTCGAAACGTAATCAACAACATTAAATTTAACAAGAAGCAAACAAAGCCGACTCCTTTCGAAAGAGCTTTGTTTTCGCGATTACGACCTTTTCTGTGTGTGTGACCTGCCGAGCATTTTCTTCGATTAGTTCTGCCACTCGAATCGCCTTCGTTTCGGTCGTTTTTTTAGTTCGGAAAACTATAAAACGCGACGGCTTCTATTTATAGAAGGCAAAAGAGTTTTAGACGGGAACCTCAGGTCGGTGATTGTATTTCACAACAAACGGAAAGCCGAGCGCGGCGGTCTTATTAAAAACAGCCATATTGATTCGTTTGAAACGAGCAATTATGCCGCCCCGAACTATTGATGTCCGCGCAAATTAACACCGAACAATTTCTGATTTTTTTACACGCAGGAGGATTGACATATCTCAAAAACCACGAAAACACGATTAAGACAAACGTAAAGTCGATAATTGGTAAGCATTGTTTCTATTCAGTTTCAGGCAGACAGATGTTTCTTATAGTATTTAACAAAAAAATGTTTTCTGAGAAGAAAGAAATCCATGTAGCTAATTTATTATTTAATTGGCCCTCATTAAATGTTTGCTAAATATATATTGTTTATTTTTCGATTTCAATTTTAAAAACTCCCTCAAAATGGAGTTCTATTATTATTAGATTTTCCGTATTTCGATATTAGATTATCATGAACGTGTGTTAAATAAGGTCATCAATCAATCAATCAGCAAGACAATAGTGAAAAACAGTTATTTTTTTTATAAAAACCTCGACAAATGCGAAAAGACAGGAGAACAATGAGACTAAAAAGAAAACAAACACAATACACGCTAAGATGCTAGTAAAACTTCTATTGTAAGCAAAACATTAGGAACTTGTTGCTTGCTCTTTTACGATGAAAATGATGTTTTGCATCGTATTTTGTCCAATTTAGGATAATTAAAAACGCAATATTTGTTTAATGTCCAAACTGATATAACTTTTATTAATGTGGCCATAAACGTGAAACGGTCAGCTTGAAAAGCACTCTGTCGCCTTCCAGGCTGCAGTTTCCTCGATTTCCGAAAATTGACAATCGAAAATCGAGGTTTAACTAAACCGGCCCGTTTATTTTAAAACCGCGGTGACTGATATCCAACTGGCAGACGATCGCGACGATTATAAATAGCCGCAACGTAGGTGCGTTTCGAAATATACCGGGTGTTTCCGCGAACCCGCCTCGTCTAGGATTCCAAGGGGGGGAAATTTCTATTAATTAGATCGCCCCCCGCCGCGCCCCTCAACGCCCGGTGATCGAGTGGTCCCGCGCGATCGAGCTAAAGAATTTTCGGTAGTAAATTACGGCGGTCGGGCGGGGGCCGGGGGGGGGCACCCATGTGAACCGCACGGTCGCATGCCTCGGATTCCCCGCGCGGCACCGCGTTTATTTTTGTGTTTTGTCGACGACGAAATAGCCGAGGCACGGGGAGAGAGATAGACGGGGTTAAATGTCGTTAAGTCAGATCAAATGTTTTCTATATATTTGGAGGTCGGTGTCGCAAAAAACGACGAATGGCAGATTTCAGTTGGTGCCAACCATGTTCAATGGGATTAAATATACGGCGGTAAGGTAAGGCCTTAAAACTGTAGGCCCAGATTTTTTGCATAATTAAGTTCAAGTTAAGTGTAAGTTCAAGTTTGTACAACTTGTACAAATGTTTGGAACTAGTTTCTTTTTAAACCAATTTTCAAATAAATCAGCGGTGGTGTCTTCATGGTAATCCGGAGAAGAATCTTTAATGTTTTTCGTAGACAGGGAAAGTCCATTTGGAATCCAACCATCTTTAGAGCCAGCATGCAAAATAGTTATTCTTTTACCTCTTTTTGATGGCGCGTTTGTTTTACACTTATCAATTGAGTCAACCCAACCCTTTTCCGGGGTATCATAAGAGTCGAACCAGGTTTCATCCAAATAAATCATTGGCCTTTGTTGTTCTCTGTAAATCCTAATTTTTTCAAGATATTCCACACGGACCACGATTTTACCTGAATTTAAATTCGGAAACTTTAGGTAATAATCTTGTTGCATTGTATGTTAATGGCCACCCTTGGATAATCCCATTCAAAAGCAATTGGTCACTTTCCTATATCAAGCACTCATAAATAAAATAAACAAAAACTTTACGTATTATAAGATTGAGTACAGTTTGGATGCGTTAAATAAAAATCAAAATCGATCATCGATTTTAAAACACAGCAAAAAAATAATATTATATAAATTATATAAATTATTTAAACTAAAAAAAAAAGTGATAACAATAAATACAAAAAAGAAAAAAATAAACATCAAACTTAGGGAACGTAAAATATTCATTTCATTCTCTTGGAGAATAATACGTTATGTTAAGTAGGAATTTACTTCTTTCATCCTCAAACCGTTGACTATTTCTGACTATTATATTTGGTGGAAGCTTGTTAAATGGTTGAATAGCCTTATAATAACTTGGAGTGCTAGGAGTCTATTGTATAGTCGATATGCGGCGAATATTTAACATTTTTTGTTGTGGAATAGTGATAAATATTACGAGAAATATTAAAATGTTATAAGATTCACACGGGTCTCTTGTTCTGCGCTTGAATTACTGTTCCCACTGTTCCTCTTTGCAGTTTAAAATTTTTCTTAAGTAAGGTAATGACTCTCATAATTGATGTGGCAATTGACGAAAAGACCATATTTAACAGTGGACCATATAGAAGCACCCAACATCTCTCGAACTTATTATTAACGATGGCGAAGACGAACGCCTTACATTGAAATGAAATGTGATTTTTTTTGTACAAGTGATCAACAAGTGATTTTTCACAAGAGCCATTTTGAAAGCATCTGAAAACGCCAGTTCTATAGATGGAGTCAATGTTTGAGTGTTTCCCCCAATAACTTTCGTTACGTTATATATTAAAATAAAAAAACAACAAAAAACAAAATTGTTTCTTAGTATTAAATATTTTCTTAAAGTCGGTGTCATCGCACCGACCGAGCGGCACACGCTTCACATTTAGGAGGTAAGCGGAACACTTATTTGTTTACTACAAACGTAAAATTAGTCTTCGGATCTCGCGACCGATTTATGGGGGCCGCGATAATAAGCGGGGGTATTTTTAAAACTTTGAGGAAATCGGGAAACGCTCCCCATAATTTACGAGGCGTCCCCTTTGGGCGTCCGGATTATACGACGTATAAATCGTGCGGGCTAAGACTTGTCACGCGTCGTGGTCGATGAGAAAAAAAATATTAAACGCCTTTATTTTTACGTTAATTAATCGTCGCGCGGACCCCCGCCCGGCCCCCCTCGATCTGTTGACACGATGCTGGAATTTTCGTGGTTTCGTTAGAGGAATGTTACCGCGTCTCTCTTCCCTCTCTGTGACGTATACATTATTTATTTTATCGTGTGACGACCGACTTGATTTGCGGGCAGCAGGGCGGGGGCAAAAACAATTATTGAGTTTTATTTATAAAAAATTGATTTTAAGGTTTTTAAGAAATTTGCTTAAAATATTTAAACAAAAGTCAAAAGTTTGTTTTTCAAGTTTGACTAAACTTGACACGTTCATTTAGAAGCATTCTTCGATTAAATATGAACAAATATGATTAAATATGAATAAAATTACACAAATCACTAACGTTTTTCTTTTAAGCAAAAAAAAAAAAAATCTTACAAGACCGTGCTATTTTATTTGGTGTTAACTTTTAATTCGGAACAGCTTTTTTTTTTAAATGAGCGTAATTTATTCCTGAGAATTTTTTAAAATATTTCGTGACCTAACCCGTCTGCCGGTGGTACAATTCTAAGTACACCTAAAATGTTAGTCCAGATATATTTCAGTATTCTATATTTTGAACCAGGATATAAAAGTCTGGACGATTAATTTATTTTATAAAAATCTCATCAACCTTTTAAACATGTGTATTATT